ATAAAATCAACTCACTTAACATTGGCTAGCTTAGCAATGGAAATTTGGTCCAAAATGGAATCATAAATCAAGGATTACCTGAATTTAGTTTTTAAACGCTACAGATCTTTAAAAAGATGGCAGGGATTACTGGTCTGGAAGAAATTAAAATAACTCTTATGATTTTTGAATTTAGGGACCAAGCTTTGGAATGAATTGTATTGGCAACTGGCAATCTTACTGTATTTAAGGTTAAAATACCTCTTCCCGCCCTCCATAAATACAGAAGGCTCATGATCAATAAAATAATGTATTTTCATTCTGCCACACTCAAATCAGTGGACGATAGCTTTTTAACTTTGTTAAGTTCCAGCCAAAATGTATCAGATTTTAATTTTCAAAGGCCCTAGTCAACATGGTTAAGCAGCTTGAAGGATTATGGGAATCGAAGTACATCTGGAGGGAAAAGTTTGGGAAAAAACCTGGCATGAAAAATAAAATTAAATAAAGCAAGAAAAAATTTAAAACAGGTGTAAAATGTCATGCTTATTTTTTTATAAGTACAAACAATCTATATTTTTTGTGTGCAAACTTGACGTAGGTAAGGTTTGCAACATTTTCTGATCAAGGAATCAAAGTGCAAAATTTAGAGGTGTGCAAAAATGAAAATATGTCTGTAGGCCAGTCTATATATTATCTTAGGAAGTGAAAATTGGGTCAGTTTATGTTAAAATGAGAACTGATTGAATTTTCCGTTCCAACTCTGTGGGTGCCTTCAGGATAGGAGTAACACTGAATGAAACAAGATGATTAGAAGACAGATTCTTCAAATACCCTGAAACCACTGATATTTTTAAAACTTCTCTTATGCTTTTTCTATGAACTCTAATTGGGTTTGTTTCTGGAAGAAAGAAAGAAGAAAAGGAAGAGAGAGAGAGAGAGAGAGAAGCAGGTGCCAAACCTTGAGCTGACAGCCAAAGGACATTCAGTAAATGTCCTTACTTTTTCAGTAAAAAGCCCATCACAGTTTAATGAGGTAAAGGGTTAGAAATTTATTACTGTTGGTTTGTGTCATGATAAGGTAGCTTTTGTTCTGCCAGAACACTTTAAAAAGAGACCATTTTCTTCTCAGCTACCCCAAACCACAGATGTGTGCTGCTTTTTACAATCTTGTCATCAGGAATCCTAGTTACAAGAGCCCCTTTCTTTTCTTGAGATCACCCACACGTAGCCTGATGGATTCAAGATCCCTCTGGTCTCCAGGAAAGAAAAAGAAAAAAAGATAATAGCTGCCCCACCCAATTCAGTGGAGATGATCTAATACTGGAAGAATTGGCAACTTAAATGTTGCTATAGAAACTCTGACCAAGTGGTTACAGAATCTTAATTTGCAGATAAAAGAGAGAAGCTAGACTGGTCTGTAAGGACCAGTTGAGCAACACTAGTGACATTTTGGAAGGATCCTAATTGTTCAGCTGTGGATTTTGGAACATTATGCAGAATTTTTTTCTATTCAAAAGATCATACATGGAAAAGCAAGCCTAAGCTAAGCCAAGAAAAGAAAATCTTGCATGTGCAATTATATATGAGGAATTATTTCATGGGAACAAACAATTTACACTATCGATGCTCCTGTTCATGCCCTTTGACATTGATATGATTGATATAGGGTGGAAGTAGGCTACTTAGAGCAAGGGTCCCCCAACCCCGGGGCCGCAGTCCACTACTGGGCTGTTGCATGTTCAGAACTGGGCTGGGCCCCCTCTTCTTCCTTGTCAGGCCACCAAGCTGTAAAGGTTGGGACCGCTGATTTAGACAAAGTCCTTGACTTATAACCATTTCTTTAGCAACTGTTTGAAGTTAAAGATTCCCCTCATCTCCATTTCAAAGCCGAAGAACTAGCACTGTCCGAAGACGTCTCCATGGTCATGTGGCCGGCATGACTAAATGCCAAAGGCGCACGGAACACTGTTATTTTCCTACCAAAGGTGGTCCCTATTTTTCTACTTGCATTTTTTATGTGCTTTCAAAATGCTAGGTTGGCAGAAGCTGGGACAACTAACCGGAGCTCACCCCATTACGCAACACTAGGGATTCGAACTGCTGAACTGCCGACCTTTCAATCGGCAAGCTCAGCGTCTTAGCCACTGAGCCACCATGTCCCTTTGAAGTTTGAAGTTACAGTGCACTAAAAAAAAGACAATTTTATTTATTTATTTTATTAAATTTTATTAAATTTTATTAAATTTTTATACCGCCCTTCTCCTGCTGGACTCAGATTCTAGTACGCACATTATCCCCTGGGTCCTATGATCAGTATTTGGGCACTTGGCAACTGGCATGTATTTATGACAGTTATAATGTGTGTGTGTACACATACACACACACACACACACACACACACACACACATATATATATATACATACACACACACACATATATATACATACATACATACCGTGTTTCCCCGAAAATAAGACCCTGTCTTATATTCTTTTGAACCCTGAAATAAGCGCTTGGCCTTATTGCCATGCATTCAAAAGCCTGATTGGGCTTATTATCAGGGAATGTCTTATTTTGGGGGACACCAGCCTGAAGATGACGAATGAGACTTCGTTGAAACGTTGCCAAGACACCTCTAATTTTATGCGGGAGAAAACCCGAATAGCCAAAGACAGACAGACAGACAGACAGACAGACAGACAGACAGACAGACAGACAGACAGACATACATACATACATACATATATATATATATATATATATATATATATATATACCAAATTTATATTTGCTGATAAAGAAATAAAGCAAATATAAATTTGGTATAAAATGGTTTGTCATGAATGCGACTGCTTGAGGGCTCCTGGATTGGAGCTGAAAGGCGAGAGGGAAGCAGAATGCTCCCTCCCATATTGGGGTAGACCAGGTGCTTCGACAGAAAAACACTAACTGGATAATTTACTAGATTCAAGGAGAAATGTTAAAAGATGTAGATTGTCATATAAGCCATGCAGCTTTTTTGGATTTGAATTCCAAACACTGCTTTGAGATGCACTGTGGAGCTCCTATCTCTTAATTCCTTGTACTCCTGTAAAAAAGATATAAATCTGAAAAATAAATGAAACTCTCAGAATCGTTAGCTAGCAGTGGCAGGAGGCTAGGCATTCTTGTCTCACACACTTGAAAGGCACTGTGAATTGAGGGCTGCCACCTGACAACATTTTTAAAGTATCTTCCAAAGATAGGAAACCTGGTGGTTTCCAGAATTTTTTTTCTAATGGCAATATATAGTCTATCCAAGGTCTTGCCGTTTGATACAGTGTTTGGTTTGAGGGAGGTTAAAGTTCAGTGGGCCTCCAGATTGCCTGTTCTTGTGTCTTGATCAGTCACAGATTATGCTAGCCCAGGCTGCTCAAAAAAAATCAAAGCCTTTGAACTCTCTCCTCTGTTCCTTTGCCCAAGTTCTACTTGTCATCAAGGTCGGACTTAATCACTTTGCAGTTATGTTCTCTGCTGCTTCTCTGAAGTTTTCTGTACAGATTAAGAGATGCTTTTCGAGGGTAACATCTTTTGATTTGTAATGGAGAGCTATGATATATCCAGGATCCAAAGATTGTTAAGTGTCTTGAAAATTGCCCAGTAAAGTAAGCAAATCCTTAATGAGCATTGGGAGGATAATGGGCTGAAGTAGAGATAACATTACTGAATCAAACTGCTCGCTCAACCTCATTTTGAAGAGAAAACATGTGCATGAGCTGTCCAGCAATTTGGGAAAAGCGTTCCATGTTTATTTTACCCCTTGAAACATAATGGAATAACAACTCTCTTGTTCTTTATTAAGCATTAAAGAGTTTTTTGGGAGAAGGGAAGGGGAATAGAAGCCGAAGAGAAATGAGAAAATCAACAAGGCTTGAGTGATTTAAAGTTGCTCTCTCAATCACTTTTGTAGGGTGCAAAATATATAATTAATTTAAGCAGGTTATATTTTTCTGTGAACCAAGAATGGGATATCAAAATCTGCAAGATTCCAATCAAAGCCCTGTCCCCTTTGTACAGCCATTGGACATATCCAAAAGAGACAGAGATTCAATCTTAGTGAAACTCTAATACCTTGCTGTTTTTGATTGCTACCCAAAGATGCTGCTGGATTTTATTGCATTGAGTGAATAAAACTTGCATCAATAGTTTTATTTTGGAATGTGGTTTGTCGGTGATTTTCACAAAATGTAGCTTTGTTGTTGTTGTTTTTAAAGAAAAAATGAACTGGAATTTGGGATTAAAAAGGGAACAAACATGTTGGGGAAAATACAGGGGGGGAAAGAAACTGGAGCTGTCATATGTCAGTTACAGAAATATAGAAAGAAGATAATTATATGCATGATTATATATTTTCATTTCATTTTTTTCAATTTCTTCTATTTTTATTTCTTGTTTCTTATCTTCCTTAGCCTTATACATTTTGTTATGCTGAAAAATCCTAATTAAAAATGTTCAAAAGTAGCTTTGATTTCTGTTTTACAGAATCATAGGCTTTTACAACTCCTTCATTTCTGTGGGAGAAAATTTTCATTCCTGCTATCCTTGATTAACTGATTTATCCTACCTGAATTTATGGGGCTTATTTTAGAATGGATGTGTTCAGAACTATGCTTTTACTTTTCAATTCATTTATAATTCTTCCTACATTTGCATAGGTCTAAATCTACTGGAGAATGAATATCAGATGAAAAAATTATCCTCCTGATCTTAAACATTTTCCATTGAAATGGCTCCCTTGGATCTGTCAGTGAAAGATTTGATGAGTTCTAGATTACATCTAATATATTAAAGTAGTTGAAAGCTAAATATGATAAAACATTAAAATACACATTTTTTAAAAGTCATAAAAAAGAAGAAGAATTGATAAAGCAGTCAGTGCAAACTAGCAAATCACAAGATATGTTTCTACTATCCCAGTTCTTTTTTGTTCATACTGATGTTGAAAGTAAAACCGCTATATGATGTCTGTTTTTGCAGAATGACCAATCTATGGAAGATACTCGGATCATAGGAGGAGATGACTTTTCAAAACTGGCTGGAAAGGTCTGTAGACATCTTAAAAGAGTTTGAGTTTTAAAAACTGCTTGTTTAATAATGAAAATAAACATTGAATGTAGGAATGTATACATGATAATTCATAAATACAGGTAATCTTTATTCAATGATTACTCATTCAGTGACTATTCAATGAGGACAACTCATACACATTCCTTGTAATTATGGATATTGCAATATCCCTGCAATCATATCGTCACAATTCAGGCACTTGGCAACCAGCATGCATTCATGGCATTTTCAGCATCTCACAATCACATGATCATGATTTCTGGTCTTCACTACCAGCTTCTACAAGCAAAGTCAATGAGGACGCTGGCAGGAGATCACAAATGGTGATCGTGGATTTCGTTGGATTTCGGCGCAGGAAGCTCAGATCTACCCGACATTGTATAAAGGGGGGAAAACTTTGACTTATGAAGTCTTTTTGGATGCTCAGGGTAATCCGAAGTCACGAGAATTATTAACTCTCCAAGGATATAAGATAGACTGGTGGTCTTATTCCCAAGTGCACTCCAGGTATAAAAAAGATTTATATAGTGACGGAATTTACCGTAAAAGACAAGAATTGGATAAGATCTTATTAGAAGGAGGGAAAGGGGTACTATCTAAATGTTATGCATATTTATCGTCTCTGCAGATAGGACAGGATGTAGTGAAGGATTGTATGATAGCGTGGGGGCAAAATTTTGGATATCCCCTTGACTTCCAGCAATGGGAACAGATTTGGTTGAAAAATATGAAATTAACCATGGCCTCCTCATATAAAGAAAACATATATAAAATGGTCTACCGTTGGCATCTCCCCCATGCGAGATTAGCTAAAATGTTTCCCGGGACATCTTCCTGCTGTTGGAAATGCAGTTACAGTAATGGAACTTACTTTCATCAATGGTGGACCTGCCCGCAGGCAGTTAAATATTGGAAAAAAATACATCAGTGGATTTTGGAAATTACACAGATCAATTTGGAATTGAGGCCCGAGATTTTCCTGTTGGGGGCAAAACCTTTGAATGTTAAATCAGGTATATGGTTCTTGTTGATTCATATTATTACTGCAGCAAGATTAACGTTTGCACAGGAGTGGAAAAATTAATACTTACCGATGGATTTGAAAAGAATATATAAAATTAATGAGTGTGCGGAATCAGATAGATTAACTAGATTGATCAATGGTAAAAAAGATTCAGAATTTTATAACAGTTGGAAATTATGGTATGATTGGGTCCAGAAAAGGTGGGAAAGAATAGATATATGATGGCAAGTATGTATGTATAAAGGAATGACTTTATATTTATGGACAATGTACTCACATTACACCATGATGGCAGAATTGTATATTTCATTTGTGTATTGATGCATAGAATATATTAATAAAATAAAAATTATTTAAAAAAACAAATGGTGATCATGTGACATTGCACTTAACAATCACAAGGATTTTTTTTCCCAACCACCACTGGAACTATCATACTTCCATGCAGTCACATGACATTGTACTTTATGTCTGCATCACTGAGTGGAGGAATTGCTGGTCCTCTATTGCTTTCATTAAGCAAGGAACATCTGTAATAAATTACCAATACTTGATCATTGATTTTGTAGTGCTCTAAGTCAAATATCCTTCTAAAGCCTGCAACCCCCATCATTCCCACAGCACACCCACCATGAATCCAGGTAAAAATACAATTATGTATGTGATTGCATTTGAATGCCATGATAAATTATATATTATTTTTTTCCCTATAAACCACCAGATGTGTTGAATTTAGTTCCCATAATTGCTTTTCTTCTGCTGGCAGGGAATTATAAAAGCTGGAAGATACTGTGTTTGGGATGGCTGACTTCTTATAATGGGTACAAGCCTTAGTAACCTATCTTGGATATGCGTATTTTCCTACCAATGCAGCACAACTTAATTATGGTTTATGTTGCCATTCAAGTGGTTAAACTATGGTTTAACTTTATCTAAAACAAGTTAGCTTCATATTTCCTGGGCCTAAATACAATTTCAGATTTCAACAATATGATTAATTACAGTTTATCAAAAATGGAAACAATTGTTAGAACATGATTGAAGAAGGATGCACGCGAGCCTAAACCTTGTGTAAACTTGTCTCTGTAATTATGAACAATAACTTATTGTGGTATCTGAAAGCAGCTATTGTCTGTTTGACTTCACAATGTATCATTACATTGGTCTTGGCAGTAGTTCTCCATTTACACATCTTGCCAATTGATGGTTTGTTGGACAAGTTAGCAACAAGCAAAGTCACTTGCTGGTTTGATACATTGTGCTAAGCTACAGTCCATGTTGTTGGATGAATGGGGCATGGCTGCACAGCCATTGTAATTTCTAAACTGTGATTTATAGCTTAGGGCTATGTATTTAGCAGCTCAGGCTTACAGACAAAGTAGCCATGGTTTTTGTGGCCTATATCCAGTTTGTTTTGTGTCTCAAACTGTTCCTGCCTGCTGCATCTGTCGATTGGCTAGAGGCTTCAACAAATTCAACAACCTCCCATACACACACGCACACTCTGTGTGTGTGTGTGTATCTGAGAGAGAGAGGTGGGGGGAGAGAGAATTAATCAATCAAACTTCTTAACTGAACATTTCTCTCTTGGAGGGGCAGCGTACAATTCAATCAATATAATAAAACATTAAAAATTGAATACGTTAGAATTTAAAAAAAAATTTAAATGTAAGACGACATTATAAAAATTCCAAGATAGGAAGTCTAGGAGTTGTTAATACAGGCAGCAGGGGGTTCTCATGCGACCAACCAGCGCCCTCTACACAAGGCCTTCACAGCCATGTTTTGACTCTTTTGTGGAAGACCAATCGATTGGGAGCTTTCCTCACTTCTGAGGACAAGATGTTCCACGAAGCAGGGATGATAGCATAAACGTCTCTCTTCCTTGACTCTGCCAGTAGAATTTTTTGACTGATGAGTAGCATGTCTTCCGTACCTGACCGAGTGGGACAGATTGATGCAATGGGGCAAATCTGGTTCCATATGCCTATGGGGCTTCATATGTAATAATCAATACCTTAAATTGGACCCGAAAGCTAACTGGAACACAGTGTAGTTCGTGGAGCTGAGATATTTAATATATGTGCCCTTCTTCGAATACCTAGTACAGCTTGCGCAGCTTCATTCCACACCAATTGAAGCTTCAAGGTATTTTTCGTGTGTTTGTGTGTGTGATATGTGTATATTATATTCATATCTAATGTTCAATTTCATTCCATTAATTAAATCAACAACCTATGATTTCAAAAAGTGGTTACTAAAAAAAAATCATAATTTATTCATTGAGCCTCTTCTGTGCTTCGTGCTAAACCAAATAATAAATACTGTTTCTGGTTGAATTATTATTTTCAGATAAGTGTTTAAAGGATTGCAATCTTACAAGTTCAGTGAGTGTAAACCTATTATATTTTGTTCAGCAGGGTTGGCTACTGATAAATACACAAGAATGCTATTTTTTATCAGTTTAACTGATTTACAGCGTGAGCCTAAACATATTTCTTCCATTTATGTTTAATAGTGCTTATTCCCAAGTAAAATCCTCACCCTAAATCTATAATTCTGTGTAAGTCATTAATTTTCTCATCTAAAATATTGATTGGTTAAATTCAGAATTGATCATGGGAAAGAATTTTTGCATATATTATCTGTTAGTTTAATTCTAGAATCAAGATTGCCATGCTTAGTTGATAGTGCTTTCATCTGAAGTCAATGGCTGGTTAGGATTCCATTGTCAGGAGTGATAGAAATGGTGATAACTCTGAAGCCTTTTTCGTAGGGATGATCTAATTAAGAAATATCTGCCTTAACTGTCTTTCACTCATCTGTCTAATTTTTACCAGATAATTGAAGGGAAAAATTCTTGCAAAACAAAAAAGTAAAGTTCAGAAATGTGCTCGTTGGGTTGGGATGAGGAATTGGCCCTTGTGAGTTGACATACTAAATCTAATCACTTTGCCCTATTACGGCTACTGAAATAGGCTGTGGAACTGCACATTTACTCAAAGCTATAAAAGACATTTTTATGGAAAAATATGCTATATGAAAGTTTAAAAGCCATCCTTGGTTCATCCTGTAACTTTGTAAAATGCGCATTCGCATACATTTTTGTGCAAAACCACAAAATAAGATTCCATCGAATAGCACAAAAATAGGAAAGGCGTAAATATTTTACCATCCAGCCATCCAGGTGTTTTCATTGGTCAAGGATGAATTTGGTCTTTATCACTAATATGTTATGGCTTCTGCTTTCCTTTCTAATAATATTATGCATTCCTCACAAATTCACTTCTTGATTATAGAATTGAATCAATAAATATTTTCAGTTAAACCTACAGCAGCCTTATCTGTCAAAAACAAAGTAGTTCGTAAACAGTACATATTTTACTTTCGTGGCTTCTTACAGATGGTCTGTATCAAACTAGTTAAGATTAGAAAATGTGTAGACATCTTTCAGGGTATTTTTAAATTTTTATTTTGCAGAAGTAGGCTTGCATGCCACCTTTTGAGATGCATTAAACAGAGAAACTAAATATTAACTCCTAGTTTACCTCTTCTTATGCTTGAATCATTGATTTTGTGGGAGAAAAAAAGATTGGCTATTCTTCAAATCTTCAACCTTCAAAGGTAATCAAGACCAGTTTTTCGCAAATTGGTGGGTAAGATTCAGATGCAAAGCAGACAAAGAGTGTTCCCCATGTTCCTCTTCTTAGATGAGTACTTTCCATAGCTATTTACTACAACAGCTAACCTTTTGGAGAACAGGGAACATATCATTTTTGGATTGTGCTGAAAGAAGTCCCTTGTGGTGTTTCCCATGAGTTTGCCAATTGCCTTCATGAAATGGCAGGATACTTAATGGTGGAAGAAGTGGTCAGGGATGGTTCTTGGTCTATCACTATTTGCCAAAATGAGAGTCAAAATTCCATTTTGTTACTGATGAGTTTTATCTACC